AATTTAGTTAATATCAAGACAATAACAGTCAATTGCTGATAGAAAACAACCCGCCTTTGTAATTACTATTTCAGAGGAGAGAAAACTTACCTTGTCACTTGTTGATGAATTTATGTGAATATAAAGCCTGATTTTATTACTGTACATCGGTTTTACTGTTTATTGTAGTTATGCAATTGCGTAAGATAGGACCCCCTTAAACCTACACCTGGGTCGTAAGTCCCAGTCACTGTTGAAGCTCCTCTCACTACAACGATGGACCCGACACACGCACGGTGAATATTTTTCAAGTTCATTTCAAATTTTTATTGTTTGTAATTATAACTAAAACTTTTATAAAACCACTTTCATTGACATCGTTTATTATATGTACATTAAAGTACTTGTTTTATTATAGAGCTAATATTTATTATTTAAATACAAAAAAGTGATTTAATAAATATAAAGAAATGAAAATATTAGGTACTCATTAAAGTATTAATTGTTTGTGCATCAAATGAATTCTGTGTAATTTTTGAAGCCTAATAACATGTATAATTTGATGAATATTGATGATAAATTATAAATTACGTAGGATAATACATATGTAGTTACAATAACTTAAGAGCTTAACCTTTTCAAAAGGTCAATAATGAAAATTAAAAATAAATATTAATTTTATAAAAATTATCGTAGGAAAATGAAAAAATATAAATAGCAATCAATTTAAAACTAACTCAATATACTAAATGATTTGATGATGATGATTTAAATAAATTTAGTGAAATAAAACACAATTCTTGATATGAATGACATATATAATATGATTACTTTTAACATCGTATTTTACTGAAGATCGATTTATTTCAATATTATCGTATATATAATGGATCTAAATTGTAAAATAATAAAATGTATTTCATATTTATAAAACTATGAATTACATATTATAAATACTATTCTTTGCCCGCGACTTCGTCTACGTCACTTTCAGAATTAGAAATCTATATCTGACCGGACGATCTCTATTCCTCCTTAAAGACAGTAGATACGAAGATTTTGAAATTGATTAAATTATTATTTTTTCTTTTTCAATCGGATGAAAAGTATTCTATGTACTTTTCCTTATACTAAGCTATCTATCCACCAAATGTCAGATAAACCGATACAGCAATTCCTGAGTTACAGATAGTGTTACTTGCATGAATTTCTTTTATGTATAAAAACATACTTTTATATATAAACAGACAGGAGTTTGAAGTTAAGACCAAAGATGTAATTAGTAAATATGAGTATTTAAATTAAAATCTATTATTAGACTTCTTTTGTTCTATTCATTTGGTAGTATCATGACTTAAATAGAAGTATAGGTCTTGCTGTAACAACATAGTACATCCACTTATTTCTCCTCTCCATACCATTATGAACCAATCAACTATTCAATTCATCCTTTACAATGCAAATATGAAAACAATCGCTAATATTATTATGCCTAATTATGTATTTCTATATCCACTAAAGTATCTAATCAACGAATCGTCCAATTGTGACGAAATTTAATATCATCAAGTTTGTTTTATAAAAAACAAAATAATTGTGGAAATAGTCCTTTTCGTAAAAAAAAGCATTGTTTCCGATACCGGGAATCGAACCCAAGCCTCCTGGGTGAGAGCCAGGTATCCTTGTAACCACTAATATTCATTCGTCGTAAGCTAACATTCATAATAAAAGAGTGATTTCATTTATTTAAAAATAAATATTTAATGTAGTGTGAGATAAACGACGTTGAGTTAGTTTGCTATTACAAACTTTAAGCCTCTAGCGATTTTAAATATGATTATCTTATGTAATTCTAGGTTTTTTGTATTTTAAGACTAAGATTTTTGTATTTTAAGACTAAGAGTAAATAAGAAAGGCATAATTACGTTTTGAGAGTATAAATGAGAATAAAATATACTAAAAAATTATGTATAGTTAGTCATTTTCAAAATTTAAATTGAAAAGATTGGGTTTTTTACTTAAAAACTTAGGGGATTGCTTGGTAATCATGTATAGTAGAAAGATGACGGATACAACTTATTATTAAAACTTGACTTACAACTGAACAATACGTAGATGAAAAATACATTAGTAGGGCAATTTTGGTAATAATAATAAGTTATTAGAAAATTCTCAAACATCTTTATTAGGAAATATTTAATTAAATAAAACACCAAGCAAACTTTTATAGACTAAGCTATAGCAAAAACCTCAATGTATAGAATAATTAATCAGAAATTTTCAAAAAAGAAATACGTTTCATTAAAAACTATATTTCATTCTCACTTTGACGAAGATAAATGATTGTGTTTTATAAGACACAAAAGAAAATTGATTTTATAGAAAGAATAAGGTGTCTAGGTCATTATGTTGAAGGTTTGTTTGCAGGTGTAAATAAATTTATGTACATTAAGACGACCTAAATCCAGTAAAACAACTTGCAAGTAAGCCTTGTTTCGCTTATCTAAATATATCAGAATGATTTTAAGCTGACATTTTATTAAGAAACACGAAGAAAGTAGAAGAAAAATGGTTTTACTGGTTCCTAAATTATTCACATCGAAGATTGATAAGGGTATAGGACATTTTTTATACTTTATTCTATCATTACTATTTTTCTTTTTACGAGCAACGAAAATACCGTAAACAGATTTATCGATATTATTTTTCGTATATATTATCCAGTTAGATCTATAACTTTAAAAATTATTTCAAAGATAATTAATTTTACTTTACATTACAATCAATAGATATACATAATTTTATTATTTTAATTTTCTATCATGCTTTCATTAAAGTAAATTTATATCATCAAGTAAAATAAATGGCGAACTAATTCGAATAAGCTAGAAATAATGATAAATCAACGAGTTATTTGTAGTTATCGATAACTAATAAACTAGGACTTGAATTATAGTGTTTGTGTGTAGTGATTGTAGTGTGTGTCGTGTGTCTAGTAACTTTAAACAACACTACGGAGAACTAAAATAAAGGTAATGTATCCTCGATTGTAACCTTAAAGTAATAAGGAAAGAAAAATGATGGTAGAAAATTAATAGTACAAGATAGCTAAATGCCTTATATTTAGAATAGAGTTTTATAAATACTAAATAGTTATAAATATAACTTTAATAAGGTAACCTGTATTAGTTAATTTATCAAACTCCTTTCATCCCTATTCCACAACCAATTGTTTTGTGACATGTGATAGAAGGGCGAAGAATTTGAATGCACTATTTAATATCGATATAGATAAAATCTGGTCAGAGTGTTATGTTGACTAGGAGATAAAAATACAATGTTATGTAATGAAGCCATATTTTTATTAACTCAACCACTCAACTAACTTTGTAGTAAAACCACCTTAACAATGACTTAAAGAGGAGAGAGCAATTTTCCTTTTCCTGGCCATCAAATGTTTGGTTGGAATTATTTCTTGTGTGTTAGCAAATATTGAAATAATACTCGTCATATTTGAGGGAAATAAAGATTCAATTAAGGAATATCTTTAGTACTTTATTTATTTTATTGACAATGACTCTAAAAGGTAGTCATAAATGTACAATTATAATAAAAATACGAACACATCTGTTTAATTACGTAGTGACGTGTTGGTACTAAAAAATACTAAGGGTCATAAAAAATAAATGTTGGGCCGTTCAATGTGGAATTGTTTTAGAATACATTATATACGTAGTACTTAGCAAAAAATCTATCAATTTTAATTGAGGATTATCTGACAGTTGAGTCTTAAATGAAAATGAAAGTAATATTTGTCGGATATATTACGCAAATTTATTTTTGTAAAAAACTACATACTCCCGATGTTTCGGCTTCGTTTTAGCAACCGTGAGCACGGTTATCATTAGTTTCATTTAAATGATGAAAACTCGCGAAAGTCTTAGATATCATAGTGAGTCTTAACTTTTATGGTGTATATGGTTCTTTAATCTGATATTTTTAATTATATTTCTAGGTATAACGTCATTGGACTATAAAAGGAAGATAGCCTTCGATAAGGTGAGTATATTTAATGATTTATAAATATCTATATCTATAAGGTGAGTATATTTAATGATTTATAAATATAAGAATCTTGAAGAGCAGTGAAATGGCTAGGCATAGTCTTGATAAAATGTGAGGAGATAATTGATGCAGGCGTAAACTTAACTCATTTCAATAATATTTGTTTTATAGCCACATACTATTTTCTTTATTTTGTTTCATAATATTTGCATATTGCTTTTATGAATTCTGCGTAATTTTATAAGATTTTTCGAATATTTTTAAAGGCCTATCTCGTTTACTCAGTTTCGTATAATTAATGTAATTAAGTACTTAAATTGTTGCCACTCTTTATTATTATCTTTTCTATTTCATAACTTTATAAGGGTGTAATAAAAATCAATATTATATTATATTTTTATTAGAATAATGCACCTAGTTTCCACAAATTTGATTTTGCCATGTTTCAGTTACAACAATATAAAATGTAAGTTTTCCTATCTAAATTTACACTTCACGAAGTGTATAAGAAACTTACATTTATAATCAAAACAGATATATTATATATAAATCTATATTAATATATAGTTATACAATAATTTCGTGTTAACTTACAAATTTATTTACAGAAACTATTAAAAGCACATGAAAAATTTAATTATTTACATTCGATACTTTTCCTAAACGGGGGCTCACCGTTTAAGGACTTGGAAGTGAGTTTATCAAAGACATTTTTTATACAACTCTAAACCTATGCATACTGTAATATTAGACTAAGATAAAGTCACCTAAAAGCCACGGAAAAGTATCTTTATATATATTACAATAAATAATTATTTCTCTAATAATTCATAAACAAAAAGCTACAAACAAAGCTCCATCTATTAACATTATATATCAATTTATTGATATGTCTATAACTTTAAATAGACAAACGACATATAATTTAACTATAAAACAATTTATTTATTTACATTTTACAGTACAGTTTCATTAGTGCAAGTTCTAGGGCCGTTAACTAAGGAATATCTGCTCGAACCTCCATTACGACTTGTGACAGCTCCTCTGATAAATAATTCTTTAAATGTCTCCCTAAATTGTCTCGACATGCCGCAGTAGATAGCAAAATTTATGGGATAGGAAACGATTATAAAAAAGTTCGTTATTAATATCAAAATATTTGCAATATGGTAGTCTAGAATTTCAACGATTGTACTCGATATAATATGTAGTATAGTCACAACGGCTACTGGTATTTCTACCATAAGAAAAACTGTTACTACGACAATAAGCATAAGCGTTGTGCAGTTCGAATCTCTGAGTCTCTTGCATTCGGACTTTCGGTTTTCTTTGAACAATTTCTGTCTATTTATTTGTGCTGTTCTCATCGCTCGAAACAGCAGCACATTCAGAACGACGAGAGACGTACACGGTATTAAGTGAACGAATAGAACTCTGAATGCGAAGTAGGTGATGAAGTATGCATCCAAAGAGATTGTTTTCACCCAGGGCGCTATCTCCACCTGTGGAGACAGAAATATATGTAACGAAACAAATCAAATAAATTTTAACTTCGTGAAAACGTAGTCAAATTTTATATGTATACTTGAAGACCCGGCGAACTTCGTATCGCCCTATAATCAAGAAATATCTGTTACGTTTTTACATTTATATTTTTGGAGTTTAATTATTAAAGCCATAAATCTCCGTGTTTTGAAGTGCGACAGAATGATTGATATATTAGTTAGTTGTCAAATCTAATGTCAACAACCACGTTTGTATCAACAACTACTAATAAATAAAAAATTAATTAAAAACACATTCCCAGATCCCCTTGAACACACACAAAAAATTTCATCAAAATCGTTCCAGTCGTTTGAGAGAAGTTCACTGACATACACACTCATAGAAGAATTATATATATATAAAGATAGGTAATTTCACATCTAAGCTCTGACCTCGCATACGTGTTCCATATGCCCTCGCCAATAAGTTAGATGGGGGATGTATTGGTGATCGAAAAACCGGGGTAGCTGATGAAGGAAGGCTGCTACTCCGATATAAATCAGACACTTCTTGACTCTAGGCATTGTGCACCTGATAAAGAATATACAAAATAAGTTCGAGAATATAGTTATTTAGGCTCTATTTATATATTTACTCAGTTAAAGATTAATTGCTTAAAATGTTTTTAGAAGAAATAATGCGTTTGTGTATCATTTTATTATTATTGTGTGTTAATTAGGTTTAAGAAGAATTAAATTTAAGAGTTATTAGGTATACTTAGTAAATGAATGATATTTTGATCATCCTGTTGATTCAGTAATTTAGTCTGTTGATAAATGGACAGCAGTATCTTTGCAATTATTTTATTCTATACATAAACAGCCCTAGAAATTTGGTTCTTATTTTCATGGATTTTAAGTTCAAATTATAATAATAAAATAATACAAACCATGTCCTAGCTACAGGTGCATGACAAACGTAGATATATCGTTGAACTGCTAGAGCTAGAGTGAGCCATATACTAGCCGTGTGAAACATTGCAGGGATCACCTTAAAACAATACAATATATTAAAAAAACATAATATTATACTATTTTGTTTGAGATATTTCAAGGTTATCCAAATAAATTTAGGAAGGTCCTATCGATACAGAGATTTCACTAGAAAATCACCGCTTATACAAATATTAGCTCCTTATAACAAAAAATAAAACAAAAAACAGCTTGCTAGAGAATGATTTAAATATATGACTGATTGACTGACCAATTTTAACGGGCAAGATTCATTTTAAATTATTCAATAGTTGTAGTATTCTATAACTTTCTTTTGCATCACTTACCTCATTCATGTAATGCCAAGCCTGACACGCGTGGACAGGACTCAATGGTTTGTAATGGTTGCCAAAAGTATACATATAAAATAGCCACGGTGCCGGGAAAAGCATGGTGAACATATCGCATAATGCCATGGCCATAAGTACAACATTTGTTGGAGTTCGCATATGACGTCGAGAAAGGACAACAACTATTAAAGTGTTCGCAACAATTGTGGTCGCGAGTAGAAACGGTGCTATGTATCTGAAATCAAATAGAAAACTCGTTTACTCAGCTATACTAAATTTAATAAATAATGTTTAAATGTTGTATCAATACAAGACTTCTGGGAATATTTCGATCTTGAAGTTACTTAAAAAGTTTTTTGATTGTGTTAGTGTTAATTAATCATCTCTTTATTTAAAAGAAAATTAACATGACTTACCCATACATAGGTTCAGCATAACTTATAGGAAATTCGCAGGTAACATTTAAATATGAATGAGAATTATTCGATGTGCAGTAATCGTCGTTGGTGAAGTTCTTATAAAACTCAGTTACATCAGTCGTGTTGAAAGTAAAACTGTTGTTAATTTTGAGTTGTGAATCAACATATTTGGAGTCTGTTCGTATCATTGGTTGGGATATATTGTATTGAACTCCGAAGTAATCAGTCCAATCGTCTTGTTCCATTTTGTGATGTAACTATCTTACACACGTCATATTTACATGTGAGATTAAATATCGGAGCTCTTATGGGTGTGCTATCATTAATCAACCCTTCTTCATATTATCTGTGGACAAAAACAATAACTTCTTTATTACTGATTTGGTTATCGTGAAATTATTTGGATAATCATATATAAAATATAAATTGGGCGATAATTTTACTTTTATAATATTAAAATACGAAATTTGTTAGTGAATCAACAAGAAAATAATCTCTGTTTTGAGTAACTGGAACTAAAAATTGAAAACCTTAGAATTTTTATTAATTTAAAAATACAAATTAAATATTACAGTAACTGGCGAGTGTTAACAATTTTTGGAATAATAATATGTATAGTACATTTCCGAATGCAATACAATTAGTGTGTAATTTTAAAATCACTCTACTTGTTTGACTAAAAACATGAGCTATTGTACGTAATTGTAATGACTATATAATGCTTTTGATTTTGGAGGAATCTGGGGACTGTACTTATTTTTCGCAAAAAGATTGCAAAATCTATGAGTGACTGGTGTAGTGATTGTTAATAGTGAGTGCTTGATAGAAAAATTTTAGCTTAGCATAGCATAGTTGGTAGAGTACTTATAGCTCGTCATACAATTCATACTATATATAAAGATGTCTTTTTAAAAGAGATGTTCTTTCTTTTATGTTCTTTACGCAAACCACGTATATATAGCACGCAAAAATAGAGTATTATTTCTTTCATCCCAACTAAATAAAAAAAAACTGCAAAATAATTATAATATGTAAATCCGAATGTTCAGTGGTTCGAACTACTGGGAATTATACTTTTACCTTTTAAACTAAAATAAGTCAAGAAAAATACAACTAGAGACTGCACGTTACTTAAAGCTTTGTTTTTATACTTTCCAAGTTTAAGAAAACCAGTTCTAAAGTCGTATATCTTCTACAAGTGTCTCAAACTTTATAACTTTGATTTATAACGAGATAGTTTAGATTGATGTTAGAAATTTTATAAAAACTAGTAATAGTAACGTAAGATAACGGGCCAGTTTAATTAATAACATTTTAAACCCCATTAATATGTTAAAGTCAAAGTATTTGTGTAACTATTGCAACTAAGTACTGAACCAATGTAAGAACGTAGTTACAATACGATAAAACAGAGTCAAGTTTGTTCAAAGATACGTATAAAATAAAGTATTTAAACGGTAAACAAGAAATCTTAAAGTTTATTTTATTACAAGATTAATGTTTTGTACAGTAAAAACCTGATTAAAATAAATATTCTCCTGATTAAATGAGTCTTTAATTGCTACTGATAAAAATAGTTTAATTTAAGTCTTTTATTAATGAATTCTATTTCTTATAAAATATTGACGTTTAATATATTATAGCATTATGTAAAATTTTAATAAGTAAACATTATTTAAAAAAATATATAAGTACGTTGTTGTTTCTCAAATCAAGAAAAAAGGTCATGCTTAAAAGCATATGTACGCTCGGAAAAATTTGAGTTGAATGTCATACATTTTATAATAGAAATAAAATTTTAAAAAGATCATATTCCAAAGAAACTCTGTTTTATTATCTTCTTGGGTTCAGTCACTCGTAAATCCTAAGCATATGCCATTGTATTCAATGCGATACACTAAATTTAATTTAAAAAGCTACTCGAGATAAAATTGTGCTTAAAAATATGTATATTTGAACCTCGCTATCTCTAACTTGATATTTTACGCACAGATGAGATTTCAATATTTTCAACTTATATTCGGTTTCGCATGAACAGTTCGAAGTCGTTTGTAAAATACAGAAATAAAGCCAGATGAAGCACAATATATCATTATAAAAGAAACTGGTAATATTGAAAATTATTAACGCAGTTTAAAATAATTTTGGTCATATTTAATTATAGTTGAAACTATAATAATCTACGAAGTACAGTTACAAGTTCTTAAATAAAACTGTGAAATCTTACTTCTGTAATTGTGAAACAAAAATTAAACTATCTTTTCCGTTATGATATAATTTAAATTTAAATAAATTGTTATGTACAGGTGAGTTTTTTGCTGATGAGATCTTTTAAGCTAGTTGACGTTCCAACATTTAAAATATGTACTAAAAATAATATATGCACATAAATAATAATATTTAATTAATTTCGTTACTTTGAAAAAGAAATATCACTACAAGAAAAGTAAAATCTTTATCATATATTCGTTGAACAAAAGTTAATATAATTACATCGTATGGGAATAATTCACTATTATGATATGCCCATACAATAAACCACAGTCAACCCTTCATCATCTATACATAATATAATTTATGTATTCACACCCTTATCATACATTTCACACACCCGATTTCTCACAACGAATCCTTTGTTCAAACCAGCTAGTTCAATTAAGATTGATCGAGCGAAATCTGATGGTAATTGATTCGAGTGTAAATGCCTTTTAACGTTACGATTAGCTCTAATAATGTTGCATAAAAATCCAGCTTGAATAGTAGATTTAAAGAATAATAACAAAGTTTATTTGTATTACATATTCAAATAACTATTATCTTCAAAGCTGCAAAATGTGTAGTTATTCCGTTTTTAAGCTGCATATTTTTTAAATATTATGTATATTTTATATTGGACGGGTATTATAACTAACCGGATTCGATATGTCAATAATTTATACTAAAAACTTCTATATATCAATATATATAGAGATTCAGAGTCGGTAATGTCGGGAACAATATAATGGTAATTGATATAACATTATCTTCCTTCGTTCACGAAACCAAAACGTTATCAAAACAAAATATCTCTTAAGATCTAGATATTGAGACAATAAACACATTTCCAATTCTGTAGAGTTGTTGAAAATGTAATTTTCTTAATGCAAGGAAAAGTAATATTTTAGGCAAATTGGATTCGTATATGTGTTGACGAAGTCAGGCTCTGTAATATGGCTCTGCATGCGTCCGTCTTTATCATGATTGAATTTGAAATTTAACAGAATATTTCAATGCTCTGTGTGAATTGAATTACGTATCTATTAAGTGAGGAGACGAATTCACTGTGCTTATTTTGATTAAATATAAAATATTAAATATAGTTAATAATATATCTACCAGTTTCGTAATAAGCTATTTAAAACTGTATAATAAAAAGAAAAATAGTTCAATTTAAATCTCTAATATATATAAAATAATATTTTAAAAAATATCATTTTTGAATAAATCATTTCCACCACGTAACTTTGAACAGATGACAATTCGGTTTTTCTTTCAATGTTCCAAAGGGAAAATGAGATTTTTTTTGACGAAGATCTCTTCAAATACAATATTGAAAGTTATTGATATCTTATTCACGTTCCAAGAAAGATTTTTCTCTTCACCTAACGCAGAATACTTTAGGTATAATAAATACGTGTCCCATGAGATTTATGAGATAAAGTTAGGTCATTTAGATACAATAGCGTTATTTGCATGATGGTTTAAGACTTAAAACTTATATAAGATTTTCTCACACTGTAATTATATTTCTAAGTATGGATCGATTAAAAATATTATTTTTCATGTCACGGGATTATATATATTTTATATAGATTAATATGCTTAAATTACAGTCGTTGATACAAGCGAGTATTGAGTGGTAAAGAATCATTGATTAATAAAGTTTTAAATTAAAATGCTTTAAAATAACTAAATAGTACAACTTTTATCTTAGCACCTTTAGATACTATATTATTGTGACACAAGCTAATTGGTACCTTACAATATATTTTCGTTGTATAATTGCTTCATTAAAAGCTGTTATAATACTCACTCTATGTAAACATATATTTATTTACTTACTAATGAGTATTACATAATTTAAATAAAATCTTCAGTTCTCCAAAGATTATTGACGGAAGCGTTATAATTAATTGTAATAATATATAGCTTACTCTTTTGTACGTTTTATAATAAATATTCAAGTCTTTTATACATATTTTAATGATGTGAAATAAAAATTCAACGAAATATAACACTATACTGGCGATTGAGGTTAATTATCCACGGTATGATATCGGTAACGGATTGTCCGATCGAGTCGAGGTTTTTTTATTGAATAGCCTAGTAATCTAGAGTAGTTTCAATAAAAAAAAAAACAAAGATTAGAGCACTTATATTAATTTTAGGGCCGGAAAATGGAACCCATAACAAAAAAAATGCTTCGGTAAAGAAACGTTGAGATCACGTCACATAAAAATAGATAAAAATACGCGAAGACGTATGCCCAAGTATAATATAATAAATTAAATTCATATTATAAAAGATTTCATTCCTCTTCTAAATGCAAACTATTTTTAGATAATTATAACAGAATTTAAAACTATATGTCAATTAAAATAATTAATAAATCAAATATTGAATTATTATATCTACAATCCTATTGTTTGATTGCTTAAACTAATTAGCGTAATTCAATATTACTCTCTCACTATGGTTCATCGAACATTTGGGTAATTTAATCAAATTCACCAATAAGTTATCGACAGAAATTCGAATGAAATTTTTAGAAAGATTATATGAGTATACTATGTAGATAAAAAGATTAAATAATTAAAACAATTGTATAGATTATTTCTTTCTTTTATTTATTAAGTATAGAGTAATTTAAATTAGGTACCATTTAAAGTACCTTCAATACAGTTGATTGTTATAGCCATCGCTTATGACATACTTCCAAACTATGCTACCTTTATTAACTATATTTTTAATTTTATATTTCCAATTAATTAGAAATCTAATTTATTTAGTACGTAGTAAAAATACGTCTAGGTATTTATTTAGTACGTAGTAAAAATAGGTAATAATTTCAATGTCTCTCCATCTGTTAATTTAATACCATTGTTCTGTCCTTTCCCTTCCCAAATAAAATCCCCTTTCCAGAATCCCAACGGTAATAAAACACACCTGCAGGTGACTAAGGGTAAGGAAAATTTGAAATATTCTT